GTTATTGAGTTCAATGTTGAGTCCTGAAGGGTGTAAAGTGCTTAAGCAGAAAATTCGGTGCTGTTCCTCCAGCTGGTGTTGGGCTTCACTGGAATATCGCAGCAAGGTCCCCAACGACAGAAACTTGAGCATGAGATCAGGATGGTGTATTAAAATAGCAAGCAACCAGAAGTTCATGGCCATGCTTGTGAAATGAGTGGTTATCCAATATATGTTTGGTCTTCAGAATGGAGGAAAATGCGTTGTGAGCTCTCAACGCAGTAGATGAGATGAAAAGGGGTTTTTGGATTCTTGGACAATGACAGAGGAGGTAAAAAGGCAAATGTTTCACTTCCTGTATTTGTGAGGGAAGGTGCTACAGGAGAATATGAGCTGTTGGGAATGATCGAGAATCAGAATGTTATAAAAGCAAACAGTCCTTCAGAATTCTGACAGAAGAATGGAGGATGTGTTTGAGACTGGTGTCGTGCTAGTGGGGTAGAAATAGTGAAGGACTCTCCTCTGAATAGGGAGGTTGGTGGGGTGGAAAGTGTGGATAAGTGGAACGTATCATAGTTCTGGAAGGGGAAGGGGAAAAGTGTGGGAAATGGCTTGAACACAGTTGAGGGTCTGTTTCAAGGGTTAGAATCCTCTGGTGAGGCACAAGAATGGCATGTTAGAAGCATTGTTGTGCAAGATAGGATGTTCAGAACTAATACAACAGAGACTGAAAAATTGTGGGAATGGAATGTAGTCCTTACAGGAAACGAGGTGTGAGAGAAAACTTTATCATTTTCCCTTCTAAATCCCATCCATCTGTTCCACTTTACGTCATCCATCTCTGATATTTCCCTTCCATTTTTAGAATTCTCAGGTCTCCCATTTCCAGCAACTGGCTGATTACTAATATTCATTACAAACCCAGCAACCCCCACAGCATGTGTGACTGCGCTTCCTCATGCCCAGCCTCCTGACCTCCCTCAAAATCATACGATTGCTGATTGTGATCTTCCAGCTCCCACCCTACCATGTCCAACTCCCTGCTATGACTGTCAGTATACCCTCTTTGACCCCCCATCACCAGACATTTCCCCAGACATGGGTTTCCTGCAACAAGGGCCTGAGACTCTCCCGTGCCAGCTACTGTCCAATTGCACACTACCCCTCCCCCTCTCCATCTCCTCTTCCTGGATAGGACAGAAAACGCTGCAAGGTCTGCCCTTCTACCCCTGGTCAGACAGTGCACCACCCTTCCCTGGACACCACCCCTGCCTTCTCCAGACACTGCCTCACTATTGTGCACGGACTGACCCTCCCTTTTGCTGATTTTGCTCCCTAGACACGCTACTCACCGTTGCTGCTTTGACTGTCCTCTGACACCTTTAAAACAAAGCAGCTGGTACATACTGTCAAGTCTAGGACAATATGAAGGAGGCCAAGCACAATGTTCAAAAGTGCAGTTGGGTATTTGTATGGATGAACGACTCAACTGGGAAGAAAGTAATTGGAAGTGAATGCTCGATGAGGTGTAAATACATACAGAAAGGCTTTCCAACACCTGCGATCACTGAGGTTGGAGAACTGCATTGCCAAGCTTTAGCCTGTCAGCAGGCAAGTGAATTTTGGCATCTTGCCCAATTAATGTATCTTGCTCACCATCTTTCTGCCACCTCCAGGAAAGGAAGGCTCTGCCTTGTGTTCTAGACTCCTCCTTGAGGGGAAACGTTCTCTCAGCATATATCCTGGGAAGTCTTTTCAGCATCTTATATGTTTCAGTAAGACGAAAGTTGACATTTGGGCAGTAAACCTAACAAAATTCTTGAATATGCAAATGAGAATCAAAGGTGTAACTAATGAATTCCCTCACTTACGGTCAGTTTATAGCATGTTGTATTCTTCTAGTATTGTGAACATGTGAATATTGTGAATAGTGAACATTTGATGGTGAAAAGATGCCAAGAGGAAGGAGCGACAAGGTGTAGAAAGCATTGAGACACAAATGACAAGAGCACAAATACTATTTTAGAAAAAGAAGGAAACCGGTGTAGGGATGAAACAGAGCAGCTTTGCATACAGTGCTGGCATGTCAAGGAATATAAATCAGATTAATCAGCTATAGGTGCAAGTGACAAATTGGAATAGTGACTGTAACAGACTTGATGTGGGCCAGATTGCAAACTGAATATTTCCTGCTACAATGTATTCAGGATACATGGCAAAAAAGACAGGGCTGTGAAGAAAATATTAATTAGGAAAACCTACATTTTTACATAGTAATAATGTACAAAAAGATGCAAAGACTGAAGCTATTTCATTGGAGATAGGTACAGAAAAAGGAACGGTTATGTTGCTGGGTATTTACTTTTTACGAAACAGTCAGAAGGAGATAGAGGAGGGAATCTGGGCAAGTTCCAGGGTAATACAAAAAAATGGAGCTTAGTCGAAATAGGGAACTTCAGTTCTCTTAATATGAACTCGGGGGCAAAAACAGAATAAAAGGTAAAAAAGGTTATCAATTCTTAACATACACGCAAGGAAACTTATTAATCAATAGTTTTCTAGTCCGATAAGGAAAGAGAAGTGATGGATCTAGTCTGTGGAATGAAACAGGGTAACTGATATGTGATACAGTGGGCGACTTCTGGATAGTGATGGTCATAAAGTAATTAATGAAAGGAACACATTAGGAAATGAGCCATAAACTCCCTTTAAAGTGGAAATGGCTCAAGTACATAACAAACGTGTTTCCATAAAAAGAAACAATGGGGCTTCCAAACTAAAGCTTCCTGGAGGACAAAGGACGTAGAAATTAAAATAAAACAGAAGAAGGAGCATTCAGGATACAATTGAAAACTAATCAAAATTCAGAGAATACAGGGTTAAATTGGAAAAAAGATAGTCATAAGAGGAGGAGTATGATAAAGAAAATCGTTGGGAATGTAAAAGGAAATTAAAAGGTTTGAAATTAGAATATAAAAGAGCTACAGTTGACTAAAGCTGACTGAGTTTTTTTTAAATTAAAGGGAGATACAGAAGAATTGCTGGTGTTTACTGGATGCCGTAGATAAATGCAAATTGGAGATCACTTAAGGGTGAATAAAGCTAATTTGGATTAGAAATAAGAAAATAAGAAAAATGATTATGTGTGGGCTAGGAGAAAGTTAGAGAAGAAACTTAATAAAACATGAAGAATGGTAGGGTCTTTTACAAGTAAATCAGTGAAACAGTAATTATTAACAGTGAGGTAGAACCTCTTGAATGGTGAGAACTAACTTTTTATAGATGATAATCCAATAAAAAGAATATATAGAATTCATTGCATCAGGATCTTGGCTAGAGTGGATATTGGAGAGGAAGTGAGTTTCCAAGGAATTAAAAGCAGTGATAGATCTGAAGGATAGAAAGGAAAATATTTAAACGTTAGTTAATTTGTTTTCCCTTTAAAGTTTGCCCTTCCTTCCATGTTTGCCAGAATCTTGCGGTAACTTGGATGAATAGTTGTTAGAAGTGGGTCTGTGGGGTGTGAGGTAATGCTAAACCCTCCACTGAACACAACAACATGTGACCCAAGTGATTTTAACTCTCAGTTCATTCTCTGCCCCTAATCAAATCCAAACAAAATCTACCTACACTCTAACAGTGGTGATTCAAGGCAGCTTTTCTCCACCTTCTCAAGGGCAACTAGGGATGGACAATAGACTCTAGCCCAGCAAGACCCATAATCCACGAATGAATTTTAAAAAAGGTTGATGTTTATAATGATAATGCTGTTGTAATCTTTGAATTGACAAACTAGTGTTTCATTTGAGAACAGTGAAAGGGAACAGTCTTTCTACAGGGTGGAGGAACGCAAATAGTTCATGAAGGTGCATGTAATCAGAAAAAGACAAGGGTTTTCAGCAGATTAACCTCTGAACAGAAGAAATAGGATGCCAGACACATGGTTGAACCCTTTTATTTTCCAGAACACCATATCCATGAAATGGTTCACATCTGGAAGAAAGGTAGTGGTGCTGTTAGTGATATATTTGCTTTGAATAGTACTCTTGTAACATCTGCCAAAGTTGTTTTTTTCTTGTTATGCGCTTGCAGTTTCATTCAGTTCTGTTTCTTTTAAGTAACAGTAGGTTTTCTTCAAACCTCCAGCTTGGTGAGATCCCTCTCCCTCACTCCAATTTCAGAGAGCAGCTTTTGTCTGGGGCCTTTTTCTTTATTATTTTCTGGGAGGTGGGTGTTACTGGAAAAGCCAGCAGTTGTTGCCAATCCCTAATTGTCCTTGCACTGAACACAAGTCCACCTCAGAGGGCAGTTAATAGTCAACCACATTGCTGTGGGCCTGCAGTCACATGTAGGCCAAATAGTTTCTGTTCCTACAGAACATTTGTGAACCCAGTGGGGTTTTACAACAATCAAGGTAGTTTCATAGTAACTATTACTGAGACAAGTTTCAATTCCAAATGTACTAGTTGTATTTAAATTCCATGGTGAGATTTGAATTTATTGTGCCAGGACCGTTAGGCTGGGCCTTCAGGTTATGAGTCCAGTGATATTACCACGTACGACCATGACTGCACAAGAAATTTATTTGAAATTGAATGGAAACATTTGTACATTAACATGTTGCTCAATTAACCATCCGTCAACTGTGGAAATTTTACCCACTTTGTTCTTCTGGCGAAACAGAGAGTATTAAAGAAATTTGCTTTTGTTCAAAATTGTAAGCTTCATTTTTCTTTTTTTTTCTCTTTCAATTGTGTTAATAATTTATCCAAAATATTTATAACTCAGAGAGGTGTGCTATCATTTGAATTGAGCTGATACCACAAACAGTTGTTGATAAAATGCTAATTTCCTTAATGCTCTTTTGTTTTGATGCTAGTATGGTACACGTGCCACTTGTTCCAAAGTACAGATTTCGTGCAACCAGTCAGGAGATAATGTCAATTGCTTGGGCTTCTTAAGATTAGCAACTAAAATGAGTAGAGGGAATCTTTTAACTGTGTGACTGCTTTGTTTTGCAGGTCTCCTGACTATCTGACAAGAGATAGGTTGAATATATCTGCGGATTAATATGGCTCGACACAGACTTGGGACTGTGAAGAAAATATTCTTCTTCACAAGTTGCACAGTCCTCTGCCTCTCCATGGTATTCTACAAGATATGCTTTCGGAAAGAAAACCTATTGCTCAAAAATAGATTAAACAGCACAGAGTCCGAGAGACTCCGACACAATTTGATTCACTGGGGTGTACAGGATATACTGCGAGGTAAAGAGGATGTAGTTGGGCCCAATCATGAATATTTCACCCAAAATTCTCTTTGGAAATCTTTTGAGGCAGAACAGAAAGGTCAGATATATTCTGGAATTATTTTGAAGAACAGCACAGAGAAAGGGTTCAGGAAATCAGAAATCCAGTTTCAAGAAACAACTGTTTCAAAGAATCTTCTGCACCCAGCAGTCGTGACCAGACATTTATCCAGGATTCAGCAACTGAAGAAAACAACAATAGTTTCCAATACAGCACCGAAATCCACAAAGCAAAAGTTCCTACTTAATAAGCGATGGAATTCATGGGTAATTTGGAATGAAGACAGCTCTTCAAACAACCTCAACCGGCGCCTACAGAATGTCAAAAACAATTACGTCTCTATGAATAAATATGCTGTGAACTTCACCGGAAAAAGAAAGTTGAAGAAACTCAGCAGCAAAGAACTGTTATGTGAACTGAAACAGCGAGTCCAAGTAGCATCCATTGAATTTGGAGATGAGTCCTTCGCTACCCCCGACTGGCAAAAGTACATTCCAAACAAGAACCTTACGCAAGCACTTGGCCCATTCAATACTTGTGCTGTTGTGGCATCAGCTGGCTCCATCCTCCGGTCGAGGCTTGGAAGGGAAATAGGTGAGTCTAACACAAATCCTCTCACTGTCAAGATTCATTGGTAATGCTTTGTGAATTTTTCTTTCAGACTAGAATAATAAACTTGTGAAGGCTAGCAAACTAGAATGACAGAGTGAAGACTGCCATTCTGTGAAGATAATGATTAACTTTGCACATCAGCAGATTAACAACTGTTGGTGATTGCAGACAAAATGACTTGAAATCTTTATAACAAAAATAGAAAATGTTGGAGAGACAGATTCTCTTCCACTTGAATCTTTTTTCTAGTTCATGAGTATTATATGGGATGAGAAACCATAACATAGTAATACATTATTTTGCTCAGGTCTGTAATGTTAAGGAAGATTTGAGTTTGAAGCTAGAACTCCTCAGGTCAAACAGCATTCTGCAGCTTTACTGCCTAGATTTGTATTTGAGGGTTTGCAGTCTTACCAATGCTAGTGAATTGCAACACATTATTTTTGTGAATAAAATGTGGTTTACAGTGGTACTCCACTGGGCTCAGTACTGTGTGCCTTGTTGTTTGTGCTTTTATCAATGATTTAGACAAAAATGAGGGCAGCATTATCGGGCATTTGCAAATGACACAAAAATTGGCTGAGTTGTTGATAGTGAAGAGGGTGGGAATCAATCATGCAATGATATCAATAGTTTTGATAGACATGGTTTATTATGAGTAGGTAGAAATAGGGTAATTAGAACATAGAACATAGAACAGTACAGCACAGTACAGGCCCTTCAGCGCACGACGTTGTGCCGACCTATTATCGTATTCTAAGATCAAACTAACCTGCATACCCTTCATTTGACTATAATCCATGTGCCTATCCAAGAGTTGCTTTAATGTCCTAATGTATCTGACTCTTTTACCACGCTGGCAGTGCATTCCATGCACCCACCACTCTCTGTGTAAAGAACTGACCTCTGACATCTCCCCTATACCTTCCTTTAATAACCTTAAAATTATGCCCCCTCATGATAGCCATTTCCGCCCTGGGAAAAAGTCTCTGACTATCCACTCTATCTATGCCTATCATCATCTTGTAAACCTCTATCAAGTCACCTCTCATCCTTCTTCGCTCCAATGAGAAAAGCCCTAGCTCCCTCAACCTTTCCTCATAAAACCTGCCCTCCAGTCCAGGCAGCATCCTGGTAAATCTCCTCTGCACCCTCTCTAAAGCTTCCACACCCTTCCTACAATGAGGTGACCAGAACTGAACACAATATTCCAAGTGTGATCTAACCAGAATTTTATAGAGCTGCGGCTTAACCTTGTGGCTTTTCAACTCAATCCCCCACTAATGAATGCCAACACACCACACGCCTTCTTAACAACACTATCAAATTGGGTGGCAACTTTGAGGGATCTATAAACATGGACCCCAAGATCCCACTGTTCCTCCACACTGCCAAGAATCCTGCCATTAACCCTCAATTTTGCATTCAAATTTGACCTTCCAAAATGAATCACTTCACACTTTTCTGGGTTGAATTCCATCTTTCACTTCTTTGCCCAGCTCTGCATCCTGTCAATGTCCCGTTGCAACATACAGCAGCCCCCCACACTATCCACAACTCCACCAACCTTTGTGTCATTGGCAAACTTACTAACCCACCCTTCCACTTCCTCATCCAAGTCATTTATAAAGATCACAAAGAGCACAGGTCCCAGAACAGATCCCTGCGGAACACCACTGGTCACCAAGCTAGCTCCAGGCTGAATACTTTCCATCTACTACCACCTTCTGTCTTCTATTGGACAGCCAATTCTGTATCCAGACAGCCAAATTTCCCTGAATCCCACATTGAATTCTAATTGTGATCCCAATCTAGAGAAGTCTGAAGTAGTGCAGTTGGGGAGGGTAAACAAGGCAAGGGAATATACGATAAATAGGAGAGTATGGAGAGGTAGAGGACGTGAAAAACTGAATCAGGATGTGAGGATGTATAATCCAGGTAACTGTGGAAGTCATTGGGTTTGTAGCATATGTTGGAGGCCATTCCCAGAAATAGAAACAGGTGTTGAGGAAGGGAAAGGAGAAGTAAGAGATGAACCAGGTGAAGATGAGGGCCGGGTGGAAATTGGAAGCAAATTGATAAACTTTTCCAATTCCAGATGAAAGGGTGAGGCAGCACAAATGATGTCATTGATATACTGGGGAAAGTGTGTGGATGGGGACTGGAATTGGACTGGAACAAGGAATGTTCCATGTACCACACAAAGAGGCAGGCAATAACTGGGAGCCATATGGGTACCCATGGCCACCTCTTTGACCTGAAGAAAGTGAGAGGAGTTAAAGGAGAAGTTTTTAAAGTGAAGGTGAGCTCAGGTTGGCAGAAGAGGGTGATGGTGAATGGGAAGAGTTCAGACCATTTTGCCAGGAAGAACTGGAGAGCCCTGACACCATCCTGATGGAGGATAGATATGTAAAGGGATTGCATAGAATCCAGGTAGAAAGAAAGGAGTTCTGTGGGGCAGGAGCAGGTGGAATCAATGGGTTTGCCCAGACAGTCCTATTTGTGGATTTCGGGGAGAATGTAGAAGCGGGCTGTATGGGGTTGGGAGACTGTCAGCTTGGAGGCTGTCACGGGGAGATCCCAGACAAGATGAGGTTGGTGACATCGTGGACACAATAGCCTGATGCTTGATAATGGGGTCATGGTCTAGGGGGAGATAGAAGGAGGAATCGAAGAGCTCGTGCTCTGCTTTCTCAAGGTAGAGATCAGTACGTCAGACAACAACAACCCCACCCTTGTCAACAGGCTTGATTACAAAGTCAGGATTGGATCTGGGAGCACAAGAGTGCAGTCAGTTCCTGGGGGGATAGGTTGGAATGAGTGAAGGGGGCAGAGAAATTGAGGCTACCAATTCAGTTCTCTGTGAATAAGTTGAGTACAGGTAAAAGGCCAGAGGGAGGGGTCCAGGTGGAAGGAGAGTGTTGGAGGTGGGTGAAGGCATCTGTGAAATAGGAAAAGGACTCCTGTCCTAAGAAATAGGCATGGAGGCAAAGACAAGTAAAGAAAACTTCAGTGTCATCTATAGCCCGAAATTCATTGAAGTGGGGATGCGGGGGGATAAATGTGTGATCTTTGCTGAGTTACAGAACATGCACCATCAGAGAGCGGAAGGTCAGAAGGGCTAGTGAATACATGACAGGAGGTGGTGTTGGGACAAGGGATAGAATCAGACGGAAGGGGAGGGGAGGAAGGTTCCAGAAGGGCTTGGGTATCTCTTGAGTTGTTGCAGCTGGTGTTCCTTAATGCCTGAAAGGAAGAGAAAAGGTTTCTTGATAGAACATGGAATGAGCCAGAGAATGAAGTGAAACTGGGAGGTATGCAGCTGTAAGCCAGCGTGAGGTAGTGTGGATGGAGAGAGAGGTCTAGAACATGCACATGGTGACACATGACAGTGAGTGTGGACCTCAGAAGGTAGAGAGAACAGCTGTCTGAGGAGCATTGTACATCACAGAGCTATCTGTGAAGCTCCAAGAACAACATCTCATTTTCAGTTTGGGGGCCCCTGAAGCCTCTAAATGGGATGTTAGGCCAGAATGGATTGTGGGTAGGCATTAAGAAGAAAGGGTTGAAACATCCAAGAGTGAAAAGCAGCAACAGCTCATAGTGGCACGCAGTATCTTGGCACAGCCTGCAGCAGCAAAGAGATTGAATAACAGCACAATGCAAGCCACTATTGTAACTGTTTGCTGTCAGCAGCTAAAATGATCATCTTCTGACCTCTATCACTTCCGATTCATGGGCAGATCCTGGAAGCAAAAGTGAAAAAGGATGTAGAAGTGAAACTGGAGTTGTGTCTGTTTTGACCAGAATTATATTTATTTGTGAGGCTTTGTACAGCTGCAGTTCCTATGATTCAGGTCCACTTGAATTTTATAACAAGTGCAAAACAAGCAGATACTTGTTGATTCAGTTCGATTGCATTTATAAGCAAAGAAAGCACAGTATGTTCCTGTAATGTGTCCCCATTGTGTTGAAATAATGTCAATTCACAATTGGACACTGGAGAGTGGTCATACACTAATGTAAGCTCCCAGACCATAGGCTGCTCTCTCATTAGAGAGAGAGGTGACTAGTATACACTACACTGATAACAAATCCCAGCACCAGATTGGAACCTTCTCAGTATTCTTACACACATATTTAAAGCGGACAGCATACTTTTTAACAAGAATGAATACATGGTATTTTCCTACATCTTGTCATTTTGTCAATTGTTAGGGCAGTGCATTAGTAAAGCCTGCACTAATTATATGGATTTGATGTCACTGTCACCTGATCCCCTTAGAATTCAACAAGATCAGACACTAAAATATCTGACTTCTTTATCGAGGCTAGTTGACTTACCAAAACCTGCACAATTTGTGCACTGTTTACTTTGCTGATTTTTGTTAGCAAAATTAAGATCAAATTGCATGAAATTTGACTTCTCCGAACTTGTCAGATCATAAAATTTGATTTTCAGATATTCAGTGAAATTAGCTTGCTCCATACATTATCTACTTGTTCTATTTAGATTACCTTTACACTTATTGAGTCTCTGTTCCTTTGTTAAAAAGTCTAGGATGCTTTGCTTATATGTGATAGAGACAACAAGGCAAGGAAGCCATGTAGCAATAAGAAAACTGAGTGAGGCAGAGTGTACAAAGATGTTTGATCTGGATGCCATCAGAGATATGCCTGCAAGATAACAAAGACTGGAATCTGAATATTCAAGGGTACATGATGTTTAGGGAAGATAGGAAGCTGGAAAAGATTGGAGCTGTGGCTTTGCTAATTAAGGACAACATTGGCACAGTAGAGAGGGATAGCCTCAGTTCTGTAGAATCAGTTTGGGTCGTGATGACAAAGAGTAAAGGTAAGAAGTTGCCCTTGAGAATAGTATATCGGCCCTTACTAACGGTCACAACGCATTTGAACAGGGTGTACCGGAAGAAATAATGGAACTTCTGAAAAAAGATATGATAATAATTGAGTGATTGTAA